CCTCTGAATTCACCATATTCATTTCTCGATGATCATTTTCTTCAATTGATTCTATACGAATACTTCACATGCGATTTCCGAGAATACACACTCTTGACATTGTGCTAAAAGTAGATTTTGTTACTTATGAGAAATTTGCAAAACAGTGGAATATCCAAGATTCTTCGATTCCTTTGAGAACTGGACGATGAGAAACAGTGCGGAAAACTCCTACATCTAAGAATACTTTAGTTTTTAGATATAAGTTAGGTGTTTTTATTGTCTGCTAAATACTTGTTAGTTATATACATGAAACTTTACAGCTTGAATCAAACTTGCACTCTATGTATCATTCAGAATGATAGCTGAACCGTACGAGTGTTCATGCATAGAAGTAATCACGATTGTCATTTGAGGATCAGGGTGTGCAAATTATTACATTTTGCTGATTGTGAGGAGCTTTTGAGATGACTTATTGAATAAGTCGAATCATGCAATCATGATAAGTCCTATCCTCTTCCGAGAATTTATTCATTAGACAAATTAAAAATATCAAATGCTTCTAACTTTCATCAAGCTGCTGAACATTTCATTAATACTCTTCTATTTTATTAAGCTGTTACATCCCACCGTTCAAAAGAATATTCGATATGCATTTTAGAGAGAATCACGAATCACTGAACTATCATTTTCGTTGCCACATTGCGAACCTACCGATATAGCGCCTCTCGCGTTAACTATGTTTTTTCGTATTATATGCTAATTTTCGGATTTGTTAAGGGATACATAAGGCAGTTTTGAAGGCCATGTTCTTTGTTCTAGTGAACAACGAACAGAACATTTTTCGAAGCGTTGCCTGAACCTTACTGTTAATATACTTATAAAATCCATCATAGTTGGATGGATTTCGTCATCGTTTCAAGTCATTCGATCATACGTCATTCATTCTTTATGCGATTTTGGCTCACTGAAATCTTGTGATATTACTGGTGTTTGATTGATGTTTGCTGTTTCTTCTGTTTTCTTGTTTTGTTGAGAAATCTGTGACATTCCTCACTGAATTCGATGCGTGAATTTTACTCATCTTGAATTTATTCAGAGGTGTTTGTGTGGAATAGTGGTAACTCAGAATTGTTTCGATATTTTGTTGTCGTAAACCATAGTGACTAAAAACGGGAATTCTCATGCATGAGTGGGTTTAAATTCAACGATACCATCAGTCAACGTTTGGAAATTTCAGTATTTTGGGTTATAAATTTTGCGAAAGCAATTCTCAGTACAGTAACATCAATCAACGAATAAGAAATGGCAGCCGCTCGTAAGAGAAAGCAGATCGAACCGACTGCCGAAGACTTGTCGAATGTCGAATTCGAAACCTCTGAAGAGGTCGATGTGGCACCNTTGCGAAAGCAATTCTCAGTACAGTAACATCAATCAACAAATAAGAAATGGCAGCCGCTCGTAAGAGAAAGCAAATCGAACCGACAGCTGAAGACTTGTCGAATGTCGAATTCGAAACCTCCGAAGAGGTCGATGTGGCACCAACTTTCGACGCTATGGGACTTCGAGAGGATCTTGTTCGTGGAATTTATGCTTATGGTGAGTGATTACAGCCGTTTACCGAAGCTTGTTTTTGATTGCAGTCATGAAGTTAGATTGAAATTCAGTTTCCATTTCATCACCGCAGTTTAGAGGTTGTTGTAATTTACAAATGGATGAATTGGTTAGATTTAGGACTATTATCATATTTTGTTCGTTGTCCATAGTGCAGTCATTAGAATATGATTGTTGTTATTACATATTGTGCAATTCATTGATTTTCGACTTATTGTACGAGCACACAGACTGTTTGAATGCAGATGTCAGTTTATTTTTTTGCGAAATTGCTCAATAACGAACAACAGATATTATTATACTTTGATGTAACAGAGTGGTTCTGATGGGAAGAATAACAATTGAATGGTGATTTGTGTTGAAAATAAAGTGTTTTCAAAAGATGACAAAACAGATTTCAGAACAAAGTCTAAAAGTAATTGTAAGATAGAAAAGTTTGAGTTTATATTTGTTTGGAGTTTCAAGATGTGCTCTGGAATTTGGATCGGGGAAACGCTGTGATTTTCATTGTGAGAGATTCTGAATTAATTTCGTGATATGCGGATAGTCACTGGAACGTTCTCGATAGAATAAGTGCTCTATTTATTTGTTTGATCGATTTTAAGGATTCGAAAAGCCGTCTGCTATTCAGCAACGAGCCATCAAGCAAATTATCAATGGACGTGATGTTATTGCTCAGTAAGTTGTTCATCTTTTATGATTTGCCTGAATATTGAATATTGAACACAGTTGATCCATATCGAGAAGAAAATCGTAGCCAGTAGGGAACAGTATGTTACATGAAGGATGGACATTTTGATTCACAGTGTGTGTTCAGTGTGGGAGATATTATAGGAAAGCTTTAATTATCTTCACTTTTTTATTGTTTTTACTTTTATTCGGTACATTTATCTCTGACTTGTATTCCATAACTTGAAATTCTATCAGTCCATCACGATAAGATGAAATGGATTGTAATCTGCATGAGCGAAGGGTTCTGTTTTATCAGCCTCTCTAACAGATCGATGAGTGTTCATTGTATTTTAAATTTTGATTGTTCCATTTATTCAGGGCCCAGTCGGGTACTGGTAAAACGGCAACGTTCAGCATCAGTGTGTTGCAAGGACTGAACACGACGATTCGCGAAACACAGGCATTGATTCTGTCGCCAACTCGTGAACTTGCTGGACAAATTCAGAAGGTTGGATCGATTTGATTTAGTGATTGAAGCATTGATTTCGTAATTTAAATCATTCCCCGTGATGTTGATGAGAATAGCAGTGTTACTGATAAGTGGAATGGTAGAATAGTGGTGTGTCAGATGAAGGTTAATGAGAACCGTGCAGATAGCGCAGTGGTAGAAACGTTAGGGTGATTGACTGAAAGTCATGGGTTCGATTCTGCGTTAACGAAAAGAAATAAGCCACTCGTTTGGGCAGGTGGCGAGTGCGACATTCACTCGTTGTATAACCTAATCACGTCTGGCGATATAACTCTCGATGGGATAATCGCAGATTTGACATCTCATTTGTTATCTCATCTGTTTCATGACCCATCAACAACAAAGAATAACTTTTGACGTTTAAAAGTGCATTGATAATGTCTGAAGTGAATGCGAGATGGTTGATTTTGATCTTTTTTTTGAATGAAGGTTATCAGTTGCTTAATAGAACTTCTTAAAATGATAAGTTTTCAAGTAAGATGAAGGGATTCGTGAATGAGCAATTCAATTTTGAGGTAATTTTGGCACTGGGTGACTATATGAACGTGCAGTGTCATGCGTGTGTTGGTGGAACGAATGTGGGTGAGGATATTCGTAAATTGGATTACGGACAGCATGTTGTATCAGGAACACCAGGAAGAGTTTTTGGTGAGTATCTGTGGATTTTCACTCTTTTTTTGTTTTAGTTTCGCTGCTGAGGAGTCGCGAACATCGCTTCACAACGGATAGTATATTGTCGATGGTTTGATGAAACTTTTTGAAATGTTCACTATTCTTGTGTTTCCATTTATACATTGATTCATTCTATTCACTGGATGAAGGGTGATTGATATCGACTTCGTTCTGTTCGGATATGGTTTTTATTTATCAATCGCACAGATATGATCCGTCGTCGTAATCTGCGAACGCGAAGTATCAAAATGCTCGTCATGGACGAGGCGGATGAGATGTTGAACAAAGGTTTCAAAGAGCAAATCTATGATATCTATCGTTATCTGCCGCCTGGTGCTCAAGTGGTACTGTTGTCTGCAACACTTCCTCACGAAATTCTCGAAATGACCAGCAAATTCATGACCAATCCGATTAGAATTCTTGTCAAACGGTTAGTATTTCGAATTTATTGTAATGATTTTTTACTTTACTGAAGAAAGGATAGAAATCCATTTGGTTTGTTAGCCTAAGCAGATCGTGTACATATTAGTATTAAGTTGGGTTGAACTTTTGGTAATTTTTTTGAGCTGTACTGAGTTAGGAAATCATAACTGTTTTTGAATATTAATACCTGGAATAAGCTAATCGTAAAAATT